TAGTAGTTAGGATTAGTAGTAATCCTGAAAATCTACAGGATAAATGAAGCAGCATTAGTAGAAAAGAAGTGTTATATCTTACACAGATGCAGGTGGAAACCAAAAGCTTCTTCAGATTCAGTATTTTACCTTCAATTAAAGGTGACTGTATTCTGAATCCCCAAAAAAAGGACACTGCTACAGGCAGAGTCACGGAGTCGCTTGTAGTCAATTTGAGTGTTTTTTACACACTTCTAACTCAGTATGTCCACGCTACACAAACTCAAAACTTCCAGACATTTGAAGGATTTTAAAAACTCCCCCGGACAGAGCTGGACAGCCCCCAAAAAGAGGACATGTCCGGTTAAAAGAGGACGATGGTCACCCTAATGAACACAAACTGAGAGCGACGTCCTCCACTGATGTTTGCAGATTTCGGTCAGGTTTAAGTGTCATGTGAGAAAAGTATACAGAGGTTGTCGAGTAACTATCTTTACAAAAATGTTCAAACTGTGATTTTTATTTTTAGTTGAAACTATTGATGAATTTCAGATTTTGCACGACTAATCAGAAGAAAAGCTTTCCTGACTTTACTCAGAGACAAACTTATCTATTCAGATTCTCATCATTTCATTAAATTACAGGAAAAATAAACTTTTTGGGAGGCTTTACTCTGAGCAGAGCTGGGGTCATCTTGACGATTAAACCCGTTAAATAAGACGTGGAGGGTCTAAATGGAGCCAGAGACCAAACAAACCTCCACTGCAGTCCTACCCCTGCACACAGTACGGTCTCAGATACTCATGGTGGTATATTTAGATCAGTGCTCACTCTTTATCAGTAAAATCACTTATCAAGACTCAATCTGAGGTCTGCATCTGCGTCTCCAACTTTCAAAGAGGGCTCAGCGTCATCACAGGCGGGCTGCAGAGTCTGAGCCACAAAGCCACAGCGTTCACTGAATACGTGGAGCTCTGCACACAGCTGTGCAACGTAAAGGTCAGCTTGAACAGGGGAGATTTAAATTGTGTATATTGCAGAAAGCTTTATTTTTTCTTCTCCCTTTTCTCTTTTCAATTTTTTTTTTTTTTTCTTAATTATTACATTTATTAAGTTCTTAATATTAGGACCCTTATTGTTATAACTGCATTTTGCACTTTCTGTCTTGTCTGTGATGCTGCTGTGACAAAAAAATTTCCCCCATGGGGGATCAATAAAGGAATATTCTATTCTATTCTATTCTACAGTGTGTGTGTGTGTGTGTGTGTGTGTGTGTGACAGCATACGTCTGCTGTATGTGTCTGTTTAATACGTATCACTGAAGTCACACCCTCTGTTTACTGAGCGAGGACGATCAAAGACCAGAGGTGACGGCGTTGGTGGAGATAAGAGCGACTTAAAAAAATGGGCTGAAAATGTTCATTACTGTTTCACAAATAAACACAAAACTACAGCAGAGTGGGAAAACAATAACAGATATCTGACATGAACAGAGTATCACAGTGATGCAAGTTTACACTAAAAATGAACTAGACCGAATTCAGGCCAATAAAAATGCTGATTTGATGATGCTAATTAATGAATATGAAGGATTATTGGCCGCCAGCTAAGCCCCGCCCAGTTTTCTTCACTCTTACTCCTAATTTGTATTCCATCTTTATCATTCTGGTTGCAGCAAGTTTGGCTCTGTCATAGAAATACTGCAGAAAGGTTGCAATGTCTACTTTGTCAACTGTGCACACAGTCCACTGTAACTGCAGACATGAGAAGCCTGGCATGCTCTCATTGACGTCAGTAATCACTGGTTTCTGGAGAGGCAGTTAACAGATTGGGTATACTGACTCGGACTTGGCTGAGACGTGGAGTTAAGGTCCAGCCTCCTGGATCAAACAAACTCTAAACCCTCTAAGACTGCCTGGTGTCTTCTAGCTGTCATGATTGTTGACCAGCTAACCTTCATCTGGTCTTGATCGCTCAGTCGATTAGCTGTCTACAACATCTGGGATAGTCAGACTTGACCAACTCCAAATTTCTACCACATGCGGAATCTCTGCAGTCTTCGCTGTCCACCAAGTCCTACTGGATGTGTTTGTGAGGCGAATCTCATAGTGAATTTTGGACAGTAGTTTGTGTCCTTCCAGAGGAGGAAATCCACTCTGTCCAGTCCAGTAGATCAGACACTTTTGTGGAGATTGAGATAAATCATGAGTAAGTGCAATATTTATCTTTATCTACCAAACAAACTACGTTTTCATGGTGTGAAATACGATCCGCCTTAAACACGTAAAGTTTTATTTTGTGTCTGTGTCCGACTTCTTTTCCAGCACGGGCTAATCTGAGCTGAATTTATTCGGCTAGAACCCTGACGATCGGCGACAAAGCCTGCTGAACCGCAGCGGGACGTAAAGAAGCAGGTGGAGTTTGACACATGAGCTTTAATGGAAATGATCAGTAGAGATCGGCACAGACGCCCTTTTTGCTGCCGTTCCGCATGCGGTGGAAATTTGGGGTAACAGAACATGCAGCAGACTCCAGACACAGGCTCTTCGAATACTGACGACAGCAACTCCTTACTGGCAGGCCTCCCTGCATGCACACTCAAACCTCTGCAGAAGATCCAGAATGTCGTAGTTCATCTGGTCTTTAATCGACCCAAAACGGCATTTCGAAACCTCCTTCCAACTTAGAAGCAAAAACTGCTCGTATCCCGGTCTTCACTTCCCCTGCCTGCTACACTCTGGTGCTCCCATCCCAACAGGACCCCAAATCACCAGCTAGACTTCACTCTTCTTCTGTCCCCCAGCAGTAGAATGAATTCCCAACTCCATGAGCTCTGCAGAGTCTCTTTCTATCTACACCTCCACACTAAAGCTCATCTTCAGCCTCAGGAGTAGAAGAAAAAAACATATTTGATCTGAACAGTCTGAGACACTTATTGACCCGGCTCCTTGTGAAGAACTCTATATTGATGATAGTGTGTTGTTCGGTGCAGTTATATCATAATAAAAAGATAACTGAGAGCATGAGTGCAGTTTCATGTCTGCCCCCTCTGCTCAAAGAGAGACTCTCATGACGCTCTAATGAAGGCCAGCAGACCAAACTCGAGCGTTTCCGTCTGACATGGTTGAGGTAAATTGTTGAAATGGAGTCAAACCACCTTTGTTGATCTATTTCTGCGCTCCTTTGACCTTTAGGCGTTGTGGACCCGTATAGATTCTGCCCTCTGACTTCAGAGCATGTATGGGCTGTTCTAAGAGTTTATGCCACAGGTCAGAGCTGCAGAGAGCCGCTGTGACATTATGCCTCTCAGCTACGAGTGTGACGCCTCTGAGGTGCCTGTTGTACACAGCTATCACCGAACACCCTCTCTGCCGCCCACCGGGCGTCCTCCGGCGCCGTGATGCACCGCGGCCTGGCTCCAGAGACGGACAGGTTCTGACCTGAAATTAAATTAAAAACCCGAACGCCAGAGGAGACGCCCGGACAGTAAAGGATGTTTAATTCTTGTGCTGAGGGGGAGGAGGGGAGAGAGAGAGAGAGAGAGAGAGAGAGAGAGAGAGAGAGAGAGAGAGGAGAGAGGAAGAGAGAGAGAGAAAGAGAGGAGAGAGAGAGAGAGAGAGAGAGAGAGAGAGAGAGAGAGAAGACAAAGAGGTGAGAGATGGCGGCCTGCAGGGGCACGGCTATACGGACACATTCATGCACATGCACATGCACATGCACATGCACATGCACATGCACATGCACATGCACATGCACATGCGGGCATTTACTCACATTCACATGTGCACACAATGTTTTAACAGTATGTGTCAGTAAGTGGTGGACAAACAGCAGCAGCAAAACTCTGCACAACATAATAAAACGGTTTTTATCCTGATATCTTTAATTTTTCAAAGTTCATTTTTCTGTTAAGTTTAAAGTTTTCACATCCACCCCACAGGTCTGCAGATCCTCCTATATTGATAATATTTCGAAGACATGGTTGTCAGAAATAACAGACGATTACAGGGAAAAAATTCAAGTTGGAGAAAAGATTCATAAAGTTACTTAATTTGACAAAAATGAATTTGTTTTTATGATCATTTAGTCATAATGTCACGTAAAAAACATAATCTGAAGAAAATTAAGTCATTTAGCGTAAGTGAAGCTGTCCCACTGATACAATAGAGCTGTTGTTGAATGTAAATAAAGTTGTTTTAATGGAAGATTAAAGTTTATTTGTGCTTTTACTGAGAGGAAGAATCTTACAAAGATGAAAAAAAAGGTGTTGGAAAAAGGTAGAAGTTATGAGTTTAGGAAAAAAGTCATGAATGGAGGAGAGAAAGTTGTAAAATTAATGAGCATCGGGTAAAAAAATCCCAAAAAAGGAAGTTGTAAATTCACAGTGTAAATATTCCTTTCATAGATATAAATTTGAATGTTTGGATTAAAAAAAGGAGTATTTATAAGAAAAAAGGATTAAGTCAAAGATTTCACAAACCAAAGTCAGGAGATTCAATTAGTAATCATATAAGATCTAAGTCATGATTTTATGAGAAATATACGAAAGAGGATTAGGGCCACATGAGGAGAAAAAATATAATTACAGGAAGGAGATTAAAATTGACATTTTGAGATTAAAAAATCTAAATTTTGAGATTTAAGTCGAAATTGTTGAGATTACAAAATGTCAAAATGTTGCGATTAAAAAAATTTAAATTTCGAGATTAAAGTCGACATGAATAAAGTCGAAATTTTGACTTTAATCTCGAAATGGAAATTAAAAAAATTGCTCTCCTGTAATTATTTTTTTTCCCTTTTTGTGTCCCTGATCCTTTTTCGTAGAATTAAGTTACAGGTTCAAACTAAGACTCCTCTTTATTTAACGCAAAGACTCATTGAAACAGACCAAAATATCATAACAGCTGCTGTCTGCACCAGAACCTCGATCACCTTGAGAAGCATGAAGCCTCTGTTATTGCAGAGCTGATTCAGAACCTTGATACTCTGGTGTTCATGTGCACTTATAGATTGTTCTCATAATGGTCCTCGGCCCTCACTTAAAGGCTGCATACCCATCCATGTTTACAAGCACCCTAAAAAAAAGGACCTCTGCCAAATGGATCATGCATGAAGTGCATCCCGGCTCTCAAACGGTTTGGCTGACAGATGAGGGGTGGCAGAAAGCGATTCCAAAGCAGACTGAACTCTGCGACATCTCTGCTTTGGACAGCTTCAACAAGCAGAGGGCACGAGGCGGCCACCGGGGGCATCGCTCCGGTCAACGAGGGCTGGCACAACATCCTGAGGAGGGTGTCAGGAAAAGAGGGAGGGAGGGAGGGGGAGGCGAGGTGAGGTGAAGATAGAGGGGGGGAGCCGGGGCGCACGAGGCGTTGCGGTGTCACCGTAATGTCAGCCCGTGTCAAGTGCAATCATCGTTAGTGTAATTTTCTGAGCAATTAGAGAGCTTATATTGAGAACGCTCGCCAGCTGACAAACACCGAGACTAGCTGAAGGAGTTCCTCACAGCTACACACACACACACACACACACACACACACACACACACACACACAGAGGAGAGTCTCAGCGGCCAACAAACACTAACACAGCCAACAACCAACACTCTCCTGAACGCCTGTTTTTCACTGTTTTTACCTCCTGTCTGTTTTTTCTTCCTCTGACAGCAGTTTTCTTAAGTTTGACGTCACTGACTGGTTCAGAGATTTCCTCTTGAAATCTTTTTTTTTAATAATTCTTGTTGTTTTCAGAGCTTAGAGCGGTCGTATCATTGGGATCAGAGGGTGGACACCCCAGAGGTCAAGAGCGGTGACCCACTTTATCTGAGGTTAAACCCAGCAGACAGTAAAAGGACACTATCCGTCACTCATTCATAATTATTTCAAACTTAAAGCTCTGATCAAATTAAAAACTGGTTCATTACATAAAAAATTCACCCCTCACCAAGTCATCATGACTTATTATCAAACTCTCTGACTTTAACAGTTGAAAATTGATTTAGATGTCGAGGGATTTCACACATTTTTGCCTGTTGACACTGAGGCAAAAAAGTTTCTGTTAGCTCTTTGAGATCGTGAACATGGTGGGAAATCCACAGAGGTAGGGACAGTCATTTAAAAACATATCTACACACAGTTAAAAACACATTAAAGCTCCACTCCATGAGAAAAATAAGTGCAAAATTGCATTTCTGAGTATTTCTGCATTCAAATCGCTGTGAATTTCTGTCAGACCCAAACAGCAGGTTCAGATACAGTGAGATTTCCTATGTCACAACTCCAAGCTCCGCCCCCAGAGCCCCACTCTGCAGGCCAAAAATACAAAGGACGATCACAGAACAAGCGTTTGCAATGCTCGTAAGAAAGCTAATTATGATATTAACTTTCATCATGTCCATAAAGACATTAGTGTCCGAGAGCAGAATAGCTCCTGTGTTAACTACCACTTGTAATACACCGACAATGTTAGGCTACAAGCTAGCGTGAGCAGAATCATGAAGAGGTACATGAAGAGGATCGCTGTCTCCGCCCACGACTCAAAGGTGAATTGCTAATGAGCTACTGGAGCTCTGCAGAAGAAAAGTCCTTGAAAGTGACACAGGTAACGGGATTTTGGCTGAAAATTTAATAATCACAATTTAAAGACCTCTGAGAACACTGTAAGTAAAAAAAAATCAATTGGAGTGGGACTTTAAAGCTTCTATAAGGAGTTTTTTTTTTTTTCATCTAAATTCATTAAAGTAAAAGATCCCATCAAAACACACTTTAGCCATAAAGATCCACTGATTACTTTAAATCTGGAAAGGCTGTATGTCCACTGATGTGGAATCTGATTTGCAAAACAACCAGCTCACTTTACATCAAAACTCACTTTTTTAACATTGTCCTCTATGGAGATTGACTCACTTTTGCAGCCAACCTCTAGTGGCCGTTTGAGGAACTACAGGTTTATTTTACTGCTGCAAAGATCAGCTCCTGGTTTTGTAAATAACAAAATTCAGACTGAGGCAAAGGAGTTACTGAGAATGATCTTAGAAATACACACGACTTCTTTGAAACAGCGACACGAAGGACGCAGACTCACGCTGCAGCAGCTGCTTCAGAAAACAAAAATCAGGTATCGCTCAAAGCGCATGATGTCCTCATCATGTTTTTTTAAGGAGGGTGTGGGGGGATGGAGGGGGCAGGGGGTGCTGTCGTTTTGTGACAGGGACATCATGATTTGGAGAGGACGCCTCGATCTGACACAGCTAAAAGAGGGCATGTGGTCCCAGTCCTTTCACTCACAAACTGGATGATGACTGACTGACCCCACCTACCACCTCCCCCACCCCTCCAAACTCCAGCCTACACCCCCCACACCCGTCATATTTGCAAACACACACATCGTCCCAGTCACATCCACCTCGAGTCTGCATGAGGAGGCACAAAAGCTTTCAGTGCAGAGGTCATAAACACGTATAAAGAGTATTTACAGTCAACTCTGGATCGCCGTTAAATGTAAGAAGGTCTTCTATTGCAGCGACTTGTCTCAGTGTCCCTCTCTTTTGTCTTTCTCTCACTCTCTGTCCGTCTCACTCTTGCACATACATCCTCTCCCTCCAAAGACTTTCACAAAGCTTTAGCGTCTCCCGCCACACGAGCCTCCTCCCGTCACTCGCTGTTTTACTGACACACGTCTGTCTGGGACGAGTCGCTGCCCACGTCCTGTCTGCTCACGTCGGCTGGTCCCATGTCACCAGCAGCCGCCCAAACGCCAACATCTGTCTCCACCGACCCCGGACAGCTGGAGGATCAGGATATGACACCACGGCTGCCTGGTGAGCAGGTAGAGCCGCCAACAATGACAACAAATACTCCCGACAGTGAACACGGATACAGGTGTGGGTTTAAACCTCTGAGGGAGGCCGAAGTCTGGACGAGAACAATCAGTCAAATGAGTAAACGTGTAGGTGAGTATATGAGGTAGAAAGAGCGCCATTGTGGCTCAGACAGAAAGACATTTCAGTTTGGACAGATTTTACTATTTTAGCTTTTTGAGTTATACTCTGCAACACAGCGCTGTACTGAGACTAGGGCTGGGCGATAAACCGAAAATTTACTGATACCTAAATTTACGATAATAACCGACGTCATTTTGCCCATATGGGTATATTTGGTGTCAAAAAATAAATAAATCAAAGTTGGTTTTGGATGTGTGTAGGTAGGCTGTGGTCTCATGTCCCTTTAAGACGCTGTCCTACATCAGAGACGTGACTCCACCCCATCCAGTCTGTGACAAAGAGGGAAAGACAGGTGAGGAGACGGAGGACGGAGAGAAAGTTGTAGCGGCTGAAGTAGACGAAGTTAATGTGGGAGGGGGTGAGCAGCTTGTGGAGTAGTTATCGTCCATTTATCGTTATTGAGGTGAACTGATCAATATATTGTGATATTGATTTAAGGCCATATCTCCCAGCCCTAGGGCCGTAGCAACAACACATATCACACTCATAAAACATCTGCCAGTTTGAGTCGTAGAAGGTCATCTGCTTATATGGGCCCCCGATGTGACCTGCCTGAACTAGCACTATTCTTCTCCATTTGTGGAGCTGAGCTGTCAAATATGGAAATTTTGGTTTTAATTTAGTAAAGGTACAAAGTTCATGTGTAATGCAAACGACTTTATTGCCACAGAGACATTTACAGTTGGGCTTTAAATCATTAAAACAAGTGTGAGAGTAAATTTAAACTTGGCATACCTTTAGTGGAAAGAAAAACTGCAATGTTAATTATTTATTCATTAATTTTTCCACATTAGAAAGTTATTATGATTACAAGGTTAGCTTATAAGTCATAGTAGCCCAACATTTGATCATCTATTGTCTGTTTTTTTGAGGTTATACATCTTTATTTCCATTAGTCGTTTTTGTGAGTGTACACAGGCCCTAAAACACTGTAACCTGTCTAAAAAGAGAGCACACCTAACATTCAGGTCAGATTTTCTACATTTGAATTAACTTTGACTACAGTGATTGAAAACCTCACCTCCATGCAGGTTTTCTAACCTGTTTCTTAACAAGAGGACTGAGCTGACTGGGTTTCCTGTGGTTAATACGCTCACGATTGATAGATGCTTTATACAGCCACACTTTTGTCCTTTTATCACTATTAATATGAAAGTGAAAGCCTTATAAAATAAAACAAGAATAGTTATACTTAAATATTAAAAGTGAGTTTCAGACAGATACAGATGCAGACACTTATGGGACAAAGACAGGAGACAAACATAGACGGAGGAGGAGGAGGATGTGCCGCAGACAGAGGGATCCACGGCTGCAGCCTCCCCCCCTCCATCATGTTTAGGTGTATAAATACCCCACTTCCCCCAGGGGCAAACTCAGCCCAGCAGGACCCTCTCTGCCCCCCTGCTCAGACCACCATCCCCCCGTCCCCCGTCCCCTCTCCTCCTTGTCCAGCTCCCTCTTATCCCCCCCATCCACCTCCCTCTTATATCGTCTAATTAGGATCTTGGGCCTCGTTAGGGCCGCAGCCCCAGGGGCCCGCTGATACCAAAGCTGATTCTATCTGACGTAACAAGTCAATGCCAAGGGGACGGATGCTAATTTTAATTAATTAAATGGAAGGGTCAGCTCGTGACAAACAAGGGCTAGAGGGGGGGTCGCTCGCCGGTGTGCTCGGACCAGCCAGACCCCCAAACAATCAGCCCGCTTGTTGTTATTACTGCTGCTGCTGTTGTTCATCTCGCCACGCCGACCCTCAGCTCCCAGATGAGAACTTTACAGGCAAGTCGTGGCTGGTAGGCAGGAGGTGATCGGAGGGGGAGGAAAGAAAGTGGCAGTTTTCCTCGTTAGCACAAATTATAACAGGAATGACCCTAAAGTGGGGGTGAAATTTTAATGAAAACAGTGCTTTACCTCGCTGCTATCTCCCCTGATGATTAACATTACATCAGCATAATAGGCAATTAGATTTTGTCTTCTTTAATGAAACTGTGAAGTAAATATATAAACCCAGAAATCTGCGCCGCCATAACAGAATATCTCTAAAGTAAATACAGCGATTTACCACTTTGTCTCGTATAATTCTCCTCTTTATTTAATATTTTCCAACATGATTTTACTTTGAAAATATTTTAAAAGATTTGATGGAAATCGTGTCGAGGCTTTAGCATCAACTCTCAAGAATAAACAAGTATGGAAATAAATTTGATCAATTCTCAGGCCTTAAAAAGTGTGGAAAATGACAAATAAAGTATTTATGTTTTCACACTATTACCACAGTTCTGAAATACTGTTGTCTAAAATAGAAAAGTTGGTGTTTCCAACTTTATAGGGTATGGAAAAGTCTGGAAAATCCAACTGTGTAGGAACCCTGAATAAAGGTCAGTCAAGTTTCTCTTTTATATGAACTTCTGCTTTTTGTTGTTCACAGATCAGATATCAGAGATCCCCGCCTCTCCCCCTGATTCTTAACTCTGATTGGTCAGTGATGGAGAAGATACACTGACGAGCAGGATGGTCTTCTGAGTGCAGCAGCAAAAACAGACAACCACGCTTTTGTTACTTGAATGCTGAGGACTAAAACTCGGTTTTATGCAGCTGTTAGTGGACATAGGCCCTTACACACAGTATTTATGATTCCAGCTTTAATGTAGGAGTCTAAAACCCGACAGATCGAGACTGTAGTTCGCAGCATGTCTTCTTTAAGTCTCCATCTCAGATCTCAAGAGCAGTGAAATTCCTGGTCTACCTGATACACCTGTGTGTTTGCAGCTGTGCAGACGTGTTTGAAAACGGTCGATAAAGAGATAATAAAGTCATATCTGACTGACTGAACAGCTGAAGGTGTTTCACTCTGGAATAAAGAGCCTCAAATTT